CCGATCTCATTATTTTTATCTTAAGGTCAAGTTGGTTTTCAACCTCGGCCTTAAAAGCTTCGAAGATATCTAGTGATTCGGATTTCTACTTAATTAAATACAAATACATATAACATGAATGATCATCCATAAAAGTAATAAATGATTTATGTCCAGATATTCCAGTGGGAAAAGGTCCACAAATATCCGTGTGTATAAGTTCTAATAAATTAGAACTCCTTGTGGCACCTCTTTTATTTCCCTTTGCCATTTGCCTTTAAGACATTGTACACATGTCTCAAAATCATTGAAATCAAGAGTTGGTAAAACTCCATCTTTCACGAGTCTCAACATTCGATCTCGTGATATATGGCCTAAACGTTGATGGCATAACATAGATGAGTTCTCCAAATCCCGCTTCCTTTTAGGTAAATTTTCATTTACATTATATGATAACAATGATTTAGAGAATTGGTCATCTATATCTAATTTATAAAGCTTCCCATCCAAATAATCATAACCAATAATGCCGGAATTTAACCTAATAGTGACTTTATTATTACCAAATGTTACATAATATCCTTCATTGTCTAACTTTTGTACAGATACTAGATTCCGAGTCATCCTCGGTACATAAAGAGTATCATATAAGTTAATACAATAGCCTCCTTGCATAACTAATTGAAAAGAACCAACGGCTTGAACATTTAGATCATCACCATTCCCGACTTTAATGGTTCTTTGGTTTCTTTCCAGCCTCCGGATTGAATGGAATCCCTGTAATGAGTTTGTAACATGTACCATAGAACCAGAATCAACCCACCATGTGTTTGTGGGAACATTAATATTAAAGGACTCATAAATTATATATAGATGATTACCTTTTTTGCTAGCCACTCCTTGAATTTTGGGCAATCTCGTTGGCTGTGACCTTTCTTACGACAGAATTTACAACGAAAATGACCCTTAGGAGCGATTGAGCCAGGAGTTGCATTTGCATTTGTCTTTTGGACCTTGGAACTCTCTCCATTATTGAATTTGCCTTTCTTTTTCCCGGTGTTTGTGGTTGTGATATGAGCACAACGGGGTTTTCAATCTTTAGGCGTTCCTCTTCTTGCACGCACATAGCTATGAGTTCGCTCATTTGTCATTTTTCCTTTTGAGTGTTGTAATTTTTTTTAAAAGGACCAAATTGTGCGGGAAGAGAGATCATAATGAAATGTACTAAAAAACCCTCACTAATCTCCATGTCCATGCCTTTAAGTTTATGGGCCATGCCATTCATCATCATGATGTGCTCACGCATACCACTAACACCATCGTACTTTGTAGTCAACATCTTCAGAATCAAAGTACTCGCATATGCCTTGGAGGTACCTTTAAATTGTTCTTCAACGGATTCCAAGTATGCTTTTGCATTTTCTGAATCCGCTATGGCTCCGCGAATGGCAACCGAGATGGAGTTCTTTATAACCATGAGAGACATTCTATTTGACCGCTCCCACTGTTCATACACTCGTTTTTGCTCTTGAGAGCTTTGTTCAGTGAGCGCAGGAGGAGGGTCATGTGTCAAAGCATAGTATAAATCCATCATTCCAAGGGTTAATTTAATGGCATCTCGCCATGACGCGAAGTTAGTGCCGGTTAGAGGTTCAATCCCATAATTAGGACTTAAAGTGGATGCTGAATTGTAACAATTAGAGCATAAATTTAGAAGAACATAAATGAATTAAACATATGGGGTAAATCACATAAAGTAAGCAACAAATAACATATTGAAGATTAAGTCTATTATAACACCAAAAATAATAGACTAAACTAAGGTCCTACGTGAGTGTTGGATTTGCGTTGGCTATATCCAATACTCAAGTGCTTCGAACATTTTAATAAATAAATAAAAATACGCCACATGAATATCGTAAGTCACCTTTGGGTGAAAATTACAATAATCATGTTAATTCGGCTTGAAAATAATTTTATAATATGTGTAACTTAACGACTCGCCTTTGGGTTTGTCATTTTGCTACACATACATCAAAATATTGTGATAACTTATTTAGACTTATATAATATTTAATAATTTCCGTTGGGATAATTACATAAATATGATATAAGCATCAAGTCATTAAGAATTATTTGTGTGTTAATATTGACGATCGTAATCAACAAAAACAAACAAAACAAAGTTATATGCAATTCTAACAGATTCATAATTAATTAAATAATAAATTAATCATTTAATTAATTAATTAATTAAAAGGCATCTAACGGAAAATCAATTATTCCCTTTAATAATAACAATTACTCCCATCAAGTAATGTTTAGGTAAACTATGGAATTTATTACGTCATGTTGGTATAATTACTACAACGATAGTAATAATTAAATAATTATTATAAAATGGTCCTAAGGCCACACATAAGCGGAATACATTCCAACAGTACGCTCATTCGTTTTTACAATAATTTAGGCAGTTGTCGCATGAGACATAAGTCTGGTTCCCTAAGTTATTGTACTTTACGGCCTACGCCGCGAGTCCGCGAGAGCGGTAAGAACCTGTATTGACCAACGTTGCTCAATTAAATAAGTTTCATGTGATTAAGCCTGATCAGTCCCGAAATCCGATTACCCCAGAATCAATCATTGTTCCCTTCCGTTATTAATTAGAAAGAACTCTTTAACTTAGCTGCTTATTAGAATTTTTATTTTCCAATAATCCAAATCTCGCACATCGCATTTATTTTATTTATTTTAATCGCTGAATTTTTTTAATTCGCGATTCCTTTTTCTATCCCTGTGGAGATGATACACATACTAAAACCCTTTACTACTACATTTTTAAGTGCGAAAAAACTCACATCTGTTTTTGGCGCCGTTGGTGGGGACGGTGTTGGTTTTAAGGGTTAATTAATTTAAGCGACTAGTTTTTTGTAGGATGTTTCTCTTCTAACCGTGCATGTTAGATTTGTTTATGCATACACGTTCTAAGAGGAGAGAACCACTTGTCCCTCTTAATCTCGAGATAGAGAAACTCGCCAGACAGAACCAAAAGGCTGAGCGAGAGCAAAGAGTAGATATGGAGCCATCATCATCTGGAACCGCTGGGACATGATCTGGTGTCCCCATCACCACCATACAGTCCGATTTCTATGTTAACGCCTCACTCCAATCCACATCGCCAGTTTCACCAAGAAATTATCCTTTCGAGTTCCAAAAATTTTGCCCTCCTTTCTTTCCCCAATATACTCAAATAAACTCCACAGCTCAACCTTCCTCCCTTATTCAAGTTTTCCCGGAACATCTCTACTACTCCTGAAACCACTTTTCAAAAACAAACTTTTGGGATGCATGGAGTAGGTCAGAACATTCCCAATCCAAATTTTCAGAACCCATTCCAGAACCAGCCACCTTACCAAAATCCTTTCCAGAACCAGTATCAAAATCAGCCCCACGTACCTCCTGTTCAACCAAGGCCAGCCAACCTATCCAGCCAGACAACAAGCCCTTCCAGTCAATGCGTATGTCCCGCATGACAACCCTCTTTACTGACGTGCACTTTGTCACGGTGCGTCAAAATAAATTCAATACTAGCACTTATACGTAGTATAGTGTAGTAAGGTTCGTATCCACAAGGAAATGAATACTTTTCTTTTTAATTAAATTCTAGTAACAAGGGGGGTTTTAGATTTGATTTGATTTAATTTAATTAACACTAAGATGAATGACTTATATGAGATTTAATTCAAAGATAAAAAGGATTTGGGCTTGTTACTTTCCACTTGTTGATATATTTTAGTCGATCATTGTTGTATCTATAACTTATCCCCTCTCGAATACTCAATCGAGGAGTATCTCCAACTCATCGAGGGCAGTTATTAACAACGACCGTTCATTAATAACCCTTACTATTAATCAAATATAGAACAACGCCGTATACCGATTTAATAGTAGCATTTAATCTCTTAAACTCCTTGATTAAATCAATTGAGATTGATAATCTCAATACAACGGTTTTGGTTTAACCAACAAAATCAATCCCTTTTAAGTTTATTAACCACGACCTTGCATTAATAAACCGAAGTTACTTACTTGTGAAACCATCAATGATTAACCATCGGTTCATTGATCGTTTCTAGTAGTAATTAATGTCGGAACATTAACTAATCGTCACTTAGCAACCCTCCAACGTTAATATAGAATGAGATTAAGGGAATAATTAATAATCAAGAGAAGAAGTTAAGAAAATAACTCACAACTTTAATAATCAAAGAGCTTCAAGATCAAAACCAAGAAATGGAAGTTTAGCTCCTCATTTGGAGACTAAACATAGCTAGAAAAATAATAAAAGAATGCTATTCTAAACTGAGCTTAAGAGTATATGTGAATGGGTGAATTAATGAGGAGGAAATGAGGTATATTTATAGGGTTTTTAGGCTTGCAGGGTCGTGTACCCGATCGGACAATAAGGGCACTCGATCGGATACTCGGTTGCTTCGCGGAAGTATAAAAAACTGGGTCATACCCGATCGGGTATGTCAGCCACCCGATCGGGTATGAACACTCGATCATGGTCAAAATCTCCCCTGCTTGTTGCCTTGTTCCCGGGTTGATTCGATTTGATTTTTCAGCGACTTACCCGATCGGGTATAGGTCATACCCGACCGGGTACAACACCAAAAATCAGAATCTTCAATTTGTCTTGAGATTTTTGCACTTTCCTTCCATTTGTGATGTTCACCAATGGTCCCTAGAGTGATCTTGGACTTGTTTGAGCTCAGAATAAACCTAATCTAAACAAATTACAAACATTTTTACAAACTAAACTATTACACCAAAAGTGTGTAATTTCCAAAGTAACAATCAATCTAAACTAGTTAAAAACACAAACATAAACATGGAAATTACATGAATGTCAACTCCCCCACATGAATGGAAATTACTCAACCTCGAGTAAAACCAAATGTTTATACAATGTTCATCAAAAGATCATAAGTTCAAAGATAGTAAGAAATAAGAAACTAAGACCATCAGGTATTGTAAATGAGTTTACAGAACAACATTTCCTTGGGTTTAAGGATCTTCTATGTTCCTTACTTCTTCTTTTACTCTTCTTCTTTTCTTCTTCTTCTTTTCTTCAATAGATGATGTCCTGCAAAAAAATCAAGTTTCTCTCATATCTCTCATTTTGCCTAGGAGCCTTTTCAAGTTTTCATCCGAGCATCTCTTTTCTTTTTCTTTCCTCACCACTCACTCATCATTTTTCTTTTTTTTTGTAAGCCCTTCTTGCTTAGATTGCCCATTTTTTTGGGTTTTCAACCTAACTAGCATTTCATTTCTTGTATTTATTTATTATTGTTATTTTTTTGTGTGTACAACTAGTACAAGAAAGTAATGCTTAGCATAAGGTAGAAACAAAGGGAGTGTACATACCAAGAGATGAATTTCCCTCCCCCACACTTGAATCATGGAACTATCCCTAGTGCCCGCCTTCATTGCCCCCTTCACCCATGGTAGTGTCGTCTCCCATCCCGCCATCACATACCCCACCACCGGAGCTCGAACCTCCAAAGTTACCCCATTGAGAGGGGTCATAGCAAGACGGTGGTGGAGGAGGAGTGGCCATAGAAGAGAAATTCCCGTGATGGGCCATATATGAGTACATAGGACCATAAGTCCTACGATAGTCTTCTTCATAGCGGTGGAGGTCGGCTTGCCGTAGCTCCTCCATTCTTTGGAAACCCGCCCGTTGCTCCTCTCGAACTTGTGCAAGTTGTTCACCCATGTTTGTGTAGTTGAGGTTCATTGTGTTGAACCCGACAAGTAATGCTTGTTGGCCCTCCAAGAGTTGTTGGAAGAAGTCTTGTGGTGGTGGGTTTTGAGGGGGATCGGGTATGTGATGTTGGGCATGTTCATGTCCCTCTTGGTGCTCGGCTTGATCTGGTTGGTGATCGTGTTGTTGCTCGGCTTGGTGGACTTGAGGTCGGAGGTGTGGTGGGATGTTATTGGGGAGGAGGTAATGTGGAATGTCGAAAGGCTCCAATTTGTACCTAAGTCTAGGTAATTCGTTGCATGGGAGAGGAAAGTATTTGATTGGTTCGGGGTACTTCATGTGCCATTTATAGCGTTGGGTTCCATTGTGGTCTTTATCACCCAAAGAGATCAAGCCTGCATTGGATAACCATCCAATATGCATCAATGAATCTTTGGAAATTGGTGCATGATCTATATCCAAATTTGGAAGCCAAATGCATGATGACCCCCCATAGGACAATGTTCCCCCCTTTCTTGGTAGTCTTCTCTAAATGATCCCAATTAAGTTGCAAATGTTGAACTCAACGGGATTTCGGAAGAGAGCAAGAGTGAGTATGGCTATATCCCCTATTCGAGTGTCATGGTTGTTGGGTCGGCCAAGCAAGGAGTTGCATATAAACTTAAGGAAAATCCGGAGAAGGGGATGTTGCACATGACTAATGTATAGTTGGGACGTGCTAAACTTCCGTTCTTCGGTCATTTTGCCCCATAAGTTAAATGCATCCATAGTATTGTCCGGGATTTCCCGTTCATGTGGAAATCGGAGCCTGAAATGCTCGGCAAAATCACGTCTTGTTATAGAATGTTCGGTGTTCATCAATCGAAACGAGAGTTTATCATCATAAAAGTGGGTCTCATCCGTCACAAACTTGGCCGAACTAAAAAATTCATAGATGACCCTCTCAACACAATTGCATTGCAATTTAAAAATCAAGGCCATATGCAATTCATCAAATAGCTCTCTCATACCATTCAACAAGCCTAGAGAAGTAAGAGCATCATGGCATAAAAAACGAGAGGGAGTGACTCTCCTTTTAGTATAGCCACGAAGCGCTTGCGATGATTCCCCGGCCCAAAACGAACATCCTCATAGACTCGAATAGGTCCCCTTATGTTGGAGCTCTCCGGTTGGTTCCTCTTTGGTGCCATTGATGAGCAAATTGGAAGCTTGGATTTAGACTTGGGATTTGGGGGGTAGGGTTTCGGTTTTCTGAAAATAGGGAGGGAAGGCGGGGTTGATTAGTATGAGGTTGTAGAGGAGAGTGAGGGGAGTGTTTTGGTGGTGGTTTGATGGAATTTGGTTGAGTTTTGGTTGAGTTGTGGAAGAAATAAGGTTCGAAAGTGGAGTTTTTAGAGGGAGAGTTCGAGTTTGGGGTAGGAGATTTGGGGAAGATGAACTGATTTCGGCTTCAATTTTAGGTTTAAAACTCATGTACCCGATTGGGTACCCCGATTACTCGATTGGGTATGCTTAGCTTTGTTCTTGTTCCAGGATCGGGTTCGATCGAGCATACCCCATACTCGACCGGATTTTCCTCGCCGTAGTTTTTTCCATAAATATACTCGATCGAGTATATTAATATACCCGATCGGGTATAGTCCTTTTTTTTCAAAATGGTTCAAGAGTTGTGCCCCCGATCGAGTATGGGGTATATGCGATCGGATTTTCTTTGCCGTAGGATTTTTTAGAAATATACTCAATCGAGTATATAAATATACCCAATCGGGTATTTCATCGGAATTTCAAATTGGCTCCAGGGTCGAGTACCCGATCGCGTATGGGGTATACCTGATCGGGTATTCGATCTTTTTTCGTCCTATTGATCGATCGAGTATATGGTACTCGATCCCCTTTTTTCCTTTTTTACCTTGTACCTGACCGAGTAGGGATGTTACCCGATCGGGTACATGACCCTGGAATTATGTTTGTTCCATTTTTTAGCTCATATCCAAACGAGTGGTTGATTATGCCCGATTGGATGTTTCCCTGGGTTTTGAAAGCCTGTTTATCTTCCCTTATTCTCTCAAAGTTGACATTCAAACAAACAAAATGAAAATTGCGTACCTTAGCTTGGGTTGCCTCCCAAGAAGCGCCTTATTTAACGTCGTGGCTCGATGATATCTTCCGTTGCTCCTCATTCATAGACCGGTTCAGAAAGGTCTATGACTTCTACTTTCTTGGATTGAAAACCCTCAAAGAAGGGTTTTAATCTTTGTCCGTTCACCTTGAGCACCTCTCCCGTCTCCAGGTCTTGAATTTCCACCGCCCTGTGTGGATATGTTTTGACCACTTTGTATGGTCCAGTCCAATGGGATCTCAACTTTCCTGGAAATAAACGAAGGCGTGATTGAAATAGGAGGACTTTGTCATCAAGTTTAAAGTCCTTCCTTATTATCATTTTGTCATACCACTCCTTCGTTTTTCTCTTGTAGATCTCCGCATTGTCATAAGAGTCCAGACGGAGTTCTTCCAACTCTTGCAATTAGAGCTTTCTATGTATACCGGCCTCGTCAAGATTGAGGTTGAATTTTTTCACCGCCCAATATGACTTGTGTTCTAGCTCCACGGGGAGATGACACGCTTTTCCGAACACAGGTCCATATGGGACAAACCGATTGGAGTTTTGTAAGCGGTTCGGTATGCCCATAGTGCATCATCAATGCGTATACTCCAATCCTTCCTGTTCGGGTTCACTGTCTTCTGGAGTATAGATTTCAAACTCCCGATTTGAGGCCTCCGCTTGGCCATTGGTTTGAGGGTAGTAAGCTGTGGTGATTTTGTGAGTCACACCATATTTCTTTAGTAGGGATCCCACAATTTTATTATAAAAATGTGTGCCTCGGTCGCTTATTTAAATTCGAGGGACCCCAAACCTTGAAAATATGTGTGATTTGAGAAAATTTGCAACCACCTTTGCATCATCAGTTCTGGTGGCTTTAGCTTCCACCCATTTTGAAACATAATCCACCGCAAGGAGGATGTAGATGTTACCTTAAAATTTTGGGAAAGGTCCCATGAAGTCAATACCCCATGCATCGAAAATCTCACAGAAAAGCATGAGGTTTTGTGGCATCTCGTTCCTCCGTGAAATGTTGCCCGCTCTTTGGCAGTTGTCACAAGATTGACAAAAGCCATGTGCATCCCGGAAAAGATTCAGCCACCAAAAACCACTTTCAAGGATCTTCATAGCCGTCCGTTTCGGGCCGAAATGTCCTCCACAAGCATAAGAATGACAAAACTCTATTATGTGGGCTATCTCATGTTCGGGGATGCATCTTCGGATTATTTGATCCTTGCAATGCTTCCACAAATATGGGTCATCCCACACATAGAGTCTTGAGTCCATTTTTAATTGTTCTTTTTGAGTTTTTGAGAATTGTGGAGGAGATTTTCCGGAAACAACGAAGTTTACAATGTTTGCGTACCATGGTTATATGACTTTGATGGCGAAGAGAGTTTCGTCAGGGAATTCGCCTTTTATGAGATTTGTGTGGAGGTCTTCAATGTCTTTGTGAGGAATGAGGCGGCCTCAATGATCGGCCACTAAGTTCTCCGCTCCTTTATTATCTTTAATCTCCACATCAAACTCACTTAATAGAAGGACCCGTCGAATGAGTCTTGGTTTGGCTTCCTTCTTTGTCATAAGGAATCAGAGGGCGGCATGGTCGGTGTAAACAATAACTTTCGTTCCAAGACGGTAGGAACGAAACTTCTCCAAAGCAAAGACCACCGCTAGCACTTCCTTCTCAGTGGTGGAGTAGTTGTTTTGAGCTTCATTGAGGGTTGAGGAGGCATAGTAGATGACATGAGAAGCCCTTCCGATCTTTTAGCCTAAAACAGCCCCCATCGCATAATCACTTGCGTCACACATGATCTCAAAAGGAAGAGACCAATTGGGAGCTTGTATGACGGGGGTGGTTACCAACCTTGCCTTCACAGTGTCAAAAGCCTCCTTGCATTCATCATTGAGATCAAATTCCATCTCCTTTTGCAAAAATTTGCATAAGGGGGGTGAAATTTTGGAGAAGTCTTTGATGAATCTTCTATAGAATCCAGTGTATCCAAGGAAAGAGCGGATGTCCCGTACATTTGTTGGGTACGGGAGTGTTTGAATGACATCAATTTTTTCCTTGTCCACTTCAATGCCCTTTGAGGAGATCACATGCCCAAGAACAATCCCTTCTTCCACCATAAAGTGGCATTTTTCAGAATTTTGAACAAGGTTGGACTCAATACAACTTTTGAGCACAAGAGTGAGATGATAGAGGCAAGTGTCAAAAGAGTCTCCATGGATCGTGAAATCATCCATAAAGACCCCAATGAATACTTCCACAGATTCGGAGAAGATGCTCATCATACACCTTTGAAAGGTGCCCGGTGCGTTGCATAATCTGAAGGGCATTCATCGGTAGGAAAAAGTGCCACATGGACATGTGAAGGTTGTTTTCTCTTGGTCCTCCGGGGCTATAGGTATTTGGAAATACCCGGAGTAACCATCAAGAAAACAATAGAACTTGTGCCCCACTAACCTCTCTAGCATTTGATCAATGAAAGGCAATGGAAAGAAGTCTTTTCTAGTTACCGAATTGAGCCTTCGGTAATCAATGCAAACTCTCCACCCGTTTTGAACTCGGGTGGGCACCATCTCGCCTTCTTTGTTCTCAATGACCGTCACTCCGGTCTTCTTTGGCACAACTTGGGTAGGACTCACCCATTTGCTATCGGAAATGGGGAAGATGATTCCCATTTGTAGCAATTTAATCACCTCTTTTTTCACCACCTCCATCATGAGTGGATTCAATCTTCGTTGTGGTTGCCTCACCGCTTTGGCCTCGTCTTCAAGTAGGATCCGGTGCATGCATGTGGATGGACTAATGCTTTTGATGTCGACACTAGACCATCCAATGGCCAATTTGTATTCCTTGAGAACTGCAATCAATCTTTCCTCTTGTTCTTGGGCCAAGGCATTTGAGATAGTCATCGGTAGAGTGTGATTTTCGCCCAAGAACACGTGCTTCAAATTTTTCCGGGAGTGGTTTTAATTCCACCTCTGGTGCCTGCAAAACAGATGGTAGCGGCTTCTCGCTCGGAATGGTTAGTGG